GCTTGCATGATGACAACCAATATAATGATACTCCGTACATTTGATTGGTGGAACTAACGGATGTAGTTCACTTGAAAAACTGGCATGAAAATCGCGGTAGAGTAGCAAGTGACTAAGCAAGCTTTGTTTAGTGAAAAAGAGGTTGTAAGGTGGAAAATATTTCATCATCCACAAGGCTGCACATTACTTTCCAACCATGACAGTTTGAAAGCATAAGAGGTAACTCCAGCTCAGATGTGTCAACAATGCTCCATTTTTTATCTGATCTTGTAACGATAGAGCATGGCAGAAATAGCCAGGTACTTTCCTCGAGTGATGCAAGGAACCGACCATTTTTTCCAGCATTTCTAGTGATGGTTCATACATACATATATATATATATACACACACACACACACACACGAGTCCATTTACACCATGTTGTTCTGATCGTTTTCCTCATTTTTATTGTCACTTTCGCAACGTTTCGGCTGTTGTACTCACTGGCCATCTTCAGGTGATATTTGTTGGAATTTTGAACTAAACCGTTTATTTAGTCCACATGGATAGATTGTTCTAATTCCACCTACCATGCCTTTAGATATCTCAGTTTTTGTTAATTCGTCTTCGTAAGTTTTTTCTCTCTTCGCTGATGCCAGGGATTTGACTCACTACTCATTGGATCAAATCATTTTTAAGATCAATAAAAATTTTTTTTTTTATCCATTGGGCTCAGACATGGTACATGGAATTAGAACAATCTACTCTCGGGGGACTAAATAAAGATTTCGGTTCGAAATTCCAATGAATATCACATGAAGAAGGCCGGAGGACATAACAGCCAAAACGTTGTAAAGATGAGGACAAAAAGTTCAAACAACGTAAATAGTTACAATACCTCATCTCAGAAATATATACCACTTGAGTTCAAACAGACATTCCAGGAAAAGGAGCCTCATTGAGATCATAACCATGTTAGGGTCTGTTCTGTGGTGATGAAACATTATTACCTTGGGTTTGGAGGTATTGAATGTTAGAAGCCAGTTCTTCCTGCATAGTGTTGTGTGAGCAAGACCAGAGGCAAAAACTCAGCTGCCAAGATTGGGTCCTCTAGATTTTTTGGTGGTGTACCTATAAACTGTACTATCACTGCATACGTATTTACTATGATCTGAATGTTGTTTTTTTTGGGGGGGCAGGGCAGCTAGAGAACCTACCAACATTTATTATCAGAGGGTAAAATCTTAATATGATGCACAGATGACAACTGACCCTCCAAGACAGTAAAAGGAAAGCAAAAAGAAAGGAATAAGCATCAATATTAAAAAGACAATGTATGGTTGTCAGCAAGAGAAAAAGCCCAAATATACAAGCTACAAATTCTAGATGTCAAAATAATACTAGTACAGAAGGAGCATTTCAACATGGTGTAAATGGTTAGCAAGTTTGTCTTGCTTGAATTACAACCGAGAAGCGAGTTTGACCCTACTTCCAGCCTTATGCCATATCTAAACTTCTCTGTCCACTGCATAGCCTGATGAACTTGCCAAATTCTGTTGATATCTATGTTTATACAACTTATATGTACTGCAAAGTGTGGCATTTAATTAGAGGACATTTCCTGAATATTAAAAACTGGTTGAAATAATGATGCCCCCCACTACTTCCTGGGAGTATTTTTAAGATTATATATAATAAACACTACTGTTATTTACTCCCAAAGACTGATACCCTTCCTGATCAAATTTATCACTAGTTACAATTCTCATTTATTTTTGTGTATTACAGGAAAGCAGCATCAAACTCCAGCAGATCTAGATTTCTAACACTCAATAGAAAGAGTCGCATTGGTTTTCATTAATCCAGTCACACTACCTTTCATACAGGTTCAGTTATATGGTTCTAAGTAAAATGGCCGTACCATAAATTTTAAAAATTCTTTACACATTGGTCCACAAGTTGTTCAACCTTAAACCAACAATAATATCACTTAGCATTCAAATAATCTACCCATGCTTAAGACAAACTTTCAGTGAAGGCTTCAACAGCATTAATGTATGAATAAAGATCAATACATTGTTTAGTATGTAAGCAAAGATATGGATATAGATTAGTTAATGTAATGTCAACATTGGACATTTCGGTCTAACAGACCATCTTCAGGCCATTCCTAAGACATAATTAACATTAGACTATTCAACATGAAAAAGACGATGGACACAAGAGCAAGACTGATCCAAACACAACTGAAGTTTTTTTTTTTTTTTTTTTTTAACAAGAATAGTGTTCCGTTTTAATATGATCACGTAGTCGTCACATGGGCAATGTTGTGAAAACGTATTCGAAGATGATTTCAAAATATTAGATCAGCTCGATTGAACGATTTTCTCATATAAACAGGCCGTTAAGAAATACTTGGTTCTTATAGGAATATGTGGAGATCAATAGATTCTTATATTTTCGTATAAGCTTGAAGTCTTCCATGTTATAAAGTAAATCAAAGATGATTACAAAATATTAGATAAGCTCTATTGAAAGATGTCAATTATCTTATCTAATATTTTGAAGTCATCTTCAAATACATTTTCACAACATTGCCCACGTGATCATATTAAAACGGAACGCCGATCTTATAAAAAATTTCAGTTATCTGTTTGGATTAGTCTTGCTCGTGTCCATCGTCTTTTTCATGTTGAATTGAACATCGTCTAATGTTAATTATGTTTTATGAATATGTCCTGAAGATGGTCTATTAGACCGAGACGTCCAACATTGACATATTAACATTAAAACAGCATAATTGCATATTAGGATTTTTGTTTGCTTTTCCGTATATTTTTTTTTATTGTTTAGTGTGTAAAAACGTGAAAGACAAGCTAAAAAGATTAAATACAAAACTCAAAGTAACAAGCAAAATACTTTATTCACCAATGCTACTGTCGGAAAAAGATATCAAAAGCAGTAGTCCAGCCGTCTGACAGATTGTCTTTGTGCAGCAATGCTCTTAGGGGTGTCAGGCTCTCTCCAAGGAGAAAAAAAAAAAGTCACAGACCAAGAAAATATCTGGCTCAAGAGATTTAAATTGATACGTACAAAACTTGATACTTATTTAAAAATATGTAGGCACCCACTGATTTTTTTTTTTTTTTTATATTAATCATTTAACTGCTAATGAATTGTGATTAGAAGCTTTTCATTTTTTTGAATAGCTATCAATTCAAGATATTTTTTGAGATTTGAAATAATTTAAAATTTTGCTTGGTTTATATTATATATAGTTAGAAAACTACAAAAATGTCAGTTACATGATTTAATATTTGTATTGCAAATTGATCTAGTAGAAACAAGAAAAACATCACTTGATGTTTCAGTCAGTCTATACGATATTTACAGGTTATCTGAGGGAGTAATGTGGGTCAGAGTTGCCATTAATTAGGAACTAAGTAAAGTAATGCAGGACACCTAATGGATTGTTCACAACAAGGGTTTTCTAAGCTCTTTCAGAAGAATTCCTGAAATCCTAAGTCCATTGTTTTCTGCTGCACCAAGTGAAATATCAAAAATACATGTAATGATAGTCATTACACATCTATTTAAATGGGTTTTCCAATTTATTTTTCTTGAGGAGAGAAAAAAAAAAAAAAAAAATACTAACCATCAGATGGAGGCATAAGAACTCAAAAGCAAATAGTGAAGGCGTCACATAAAAATGTATTTTGAGGACGGTCTTAGACTCCACCCACTACACAAGCCTAAAGATATTAGTGGACCAAATTGTAATTTAAGTTAGAAAGAAAGTTGGAACACCAGTTACAAAGAAGGCCACAATACAGATGAAGACATGATTATCAGCAAAGTTAACTTTTTGCCTCACCTAAGAGACAGAATTAGCAGAAAAGTCCAGGAAACATTATCTGCAATTCTATTTCTGTGTGCGTGATTAAGCCTGGATTAAAAAAAAAAAAAAAAAAAAAAAAAAATCATAATTAGCCAACTTTTAGCACATGTCACTAAGTAAAAATGCAACAATGAAACAAGTCAGAGGCAATATTCCCATTTAAAAGCAAACTGGAGACCAAGCAGCATGAGATAAGGGATTTTGTTTTTAAATATTGTCAAATTATAATGCATTCACACATTAACAGGTAATACTTTTAGATCTAATTTTGACTGCAGTTTAACTCTTTATATATATATATATATATATATATATATATATATATATATATATATATATATATAATCTCTTTATATTAATTTATCAACTGTAGTTGGCATGGTGTTAAAGTGTAGGAGTGTGTTTTATATTTTTTTTTTTACAATGTTAATTTTAACCATTAGTTATAGCCTGGCAGAGTATGAATACATTCAAGACATCCCATCTCTCTAAGTTATATAACAAAGAAAATATTAGTCATTAAACTTCTAAGAGTTTTTCATGTTCTGCTAATGCTTATTAAAAAAAAAAAAAAAAAAAAAAAAAAAAAAAAAAGCAAACAATGGTACTATGGCCAAGACAAACACAGGCAAGGCTATAAATAATAACTGAAAAATGTCAAAGAAATTGTTCTGGCTACATGATCAGTCTTCCAAATATCAAATTAAATTCAACATGTCATTCAATCTTCTACCAACATTGAACGGATGTAGCTGAACAGATAATATCAAAAATTGATATTTTTTGAAAACTGAGAATATATTCAGAGCAATTACTATGTAAAATAATTAATTTTCATTCTATTAATGCTTAATAAAAAAAAAAAAAAAAAAAAAAAATTAAAAGAATAGCAAGGAAAGCCAGTTATGTTGCTACTGTTGTTGCTATTGGTGGTTTCTTTTTGTTTTTAGTGGTGTTTATTGGTGCTATGAAAAATATTCAGGCAGCTGCTGCATGTATGACTGTCCAGTAAGCACTGATCACTTGAGCAAGACGAGTACCAGCCACATGAGGAATACCAGAGATGTTGAGTCTTGGGGCTCTAAGTGGTCTTCTTGACCAAAGCTAGCATGCTGAAATTCAC